TAAACTTTGAAATCTCTCACAATTTTCTCGAATGCATCCCAAGTTTCCATACCAGGCTGTTCAATACCATAAAATATCAGATTATTACGTTTCAACTGTGCATTTGTTTTATCTAATTCTACTTCCATCCTATTTGAACGTTCACGTAATTGTTTATTTTCTTCAACTAGTTTTGCCATTTTGCCTCGGTTTTCATCCACACTACTTTTTAGGACTTTTACCTCCTCTGCTAAAATCCTCACTCTGTTATCCACCACTTCGATACGATCCATAATATCTTTGCGCAAACCCCGCATTTCCATCATGACATCAGCCAACGTAAACTCATCAACACGTTGGACACCAGTCTCTTGTAATCCAATGTGGCGACCCTCTTTGTCTACCCCGTCTTCTATTTGCGTTATTACTGGGTTTTTGTTAATGGCGAAACATGCTGACCACTGCTACTACGCAAAGTCATCAACTCAGATATTGTTCGCTGACCATCAAGCATCTTGCGTGGTGGCCCAGGGTTTACTTCAATATCGCCCGATAAAAGTAGCAAGATACTAATGATGAATAAACTCACGTGTATTCGGCTATGTTGATCGCACATGTGCTTTCGCTGAACCGGAACTTCGGGAATATTCTCTTGTTGAAAAAACATTTTCGAGCAATACGATAGCGCAATAAACACCTGATGATAAGATATTTCTTCACTGAGCAGTCTATGTCACTTTTAAATGTTATTTCGGGTAAAATTCGTATAACTTTACAGAATTTATGAAGAGCACTGAAAACACCCTGTTGCTTGGACAAACGCCCTCAAACGACTTCAATTAAAGAACACAAGATATCTTACCAAAAATGACAAAAATATTCACCAAAATTAGAGAATTAAAGATATCATTACAAAATGAACAAATCTGAGAGCAGTCAACATGTAGTACCTATATATATGTAATATCAAAGCAATGGGACTTGCTGTTTTTAACAAGAAGTCGAAAATGTCACTTTTTACCAAAAATGACAAAAATATTCACCAAAATTAGAGAATTGAAGATATCAAGATGAAATGAACAAACCTAAGAGAGGTCTACCCAAAGTACATATACACCAAGTATCAAAGCATTCAGGCTCGTAGTTTTCAAGAAGAAGTCGAAAAAGTAAAACATTGACACGAACGACGACGGACAATCACTCATATGATAAGCTCCGCTCAACAAAGTCGACAGCGGAGCTAAAAATTTGAAAAAAATTATGTGGGTTTGATTTTTTGAAAGATGACAAAAGTTGTTAGGATTCAAAAGGTTGAAAGGTCGTGCTGTCATGTGACAGTGATAGATAAGAGTTTGTTCACTGACCTTTACTAGTATTGTCTGTCTTTAATATGACAAGATTTTCAAGGAAATCTTTACACATGAAAGTAAACATTATAAATTTGGTATATAATCAGGGCTTTGATATTCACAGTTGTTAATTCCTGAAAAACACTGGGTTTTCGATCATTATTTGGGACTCTTGTCACAGGCACTGACTGTTTTAAGATTTGGAAAGCATTCTGATCACATTTGTTTTAGATTCATTATATACTGTGGAATACTTTATTTTAGCTGGAATTAATTTTCGCTGAAAAGGCATTTTGGGTGTTTTGTATGGAATTTATTTTCACTGATTTTTGATGAGTTGAATGTGAAATATAGGAAAAAAAGTATATTCGCTGGATTTTATTTTCACAGAATCATCCCTTCAGCGAAAATAAAGTATTCTACAGTAGTTAGAATACAGGTGTAAAGACAATCTTACGCTCATAAAAATCAAACAGCAATTGTCACAGGCACTGACTATTTTAAAATTTGGAGAGCGTTATGATCACATTTGTTCTAGATTCATTATATACAATGTAGTTAGAATACAGGTGTAAAGACCATCTTATGCTCATACAAACATTTTTTTCAAAGCAGTTTCAAAGTTTGTTGTCTCTCCAAATACTTTATTTACTCTATCTACCTATCTACTTATTAGTAGCACATGTGCTGAAGTTACCAGTACTAACAGAGATGTGTATGCTCAAAATAAAACAACTTTTGGTTACTGTACATTACCCGTAGTCATTCTAATAGTGTGTTTTCAAGAGAGAATATCCGGGTATTTTTACCACCTGACAACCAGGACCAGTGAAAACAACAGTTGAAAACTCTCAAGAAACTGTACTTTAGGCTAGTTGTTGAGATTCTCCTGAACAGTGTAACAAGATTACCCCCACATGTGCAACATATACAAATTTGGTTGTTCAGGATTACTTCAAAGTCGAGTTTGTGTTGTTTCCTCGCCTTTAGCAGTTTTCCTCAGCTCTTTACCCAGCATTCCACAGCAGCTCATACAGCATAGGAATATACAAACACATGGTACAATGGTTCAGGTCTTAGCAACATAGAACGTCCTGTGATGTAGCTTCGTCCCCAAGAATACTGATTTGTAATCAATTGTGAAAATAAAATTCATTGAAAGGAAAAACCAGTGAGGACGTCAGATCATGTTAACATCATCACAATTTGCATAAATTTAATCGCATACTTTTAATACCAATCAGTTTTGACAAATTGGTAACCGAAAACTAATACCAAGATCACTTCTTGCAATATTGTGGTGATGTTTGCATATCAGAAATCATTCAATAAAACATATATAATAATAATATAGAAAGCACCTGCTATGCAGGGTATATGTACTTCCTAGATTTGTGATTGAGCTTCAGTTCTGGGTACAATAAGTTAAAATTTATGATTGTATTTTAAAATTTAATAATTCACAACATAAATTTAATAATTTATGAGGAAACTCAATGCAATATCTGGGTCACTGAAAAAGATGTACATTTTGAAAAAAAATATATGAAAATAAAATTCAATTTCACATTTCGGTTTTATATATCTTTGGAGACTAAAAATAAAATGAATCTAAGAGAAGAGAATATGTTCTGATATTTACTGGCAATTGATATTAAATGAAACAGGATTTAATTGGATTATTCTATTTCTTCATGTTTTGAATATTTAATGACATACGAAAATTAAAAAAATAAATTAATATAATGTATGTGAATTAAATTGTTTATAAACTAGGTTGAGCTACTACTATGTTTAGAAGATATATATTCAGGATTTTCAGTTCATATTTGAAATGATCTTGAAATGTCCAAGATAAAACACTAATTACTATCTTCAACAAAAGCACTTATAAATAAAATTGTTTTTGTGCAATAATTATTACAGTATGACTTACTTTGACACCTCGATAATTGATGTATGTAATATAATTTAATAATAACAAAAAAAGGGTTGTTTTAACTATTTGAATGTCATAATTTATTCATAAAATAAAGCCACATTATCCAGTATACAATAAATACAATGCAATTTTGGTTAATGTGTGCATCTAATGGGGATGCACTTCAAATATAATAGTACGTCTAAGCCCACCCCCATAATTTTCCCGATTTTACATGTTCAGGCCCTTGGGCTTATACTCAGGGAAGTACAGTATAAATTACAGTAGCCTAGCAGTTGTCACCGTGCCACGTCCTGTGTGATATGGAACCCATAGCGACATTACAAATAAACCGTCTGTAGAATACATTGTTTGTTTTAAATGTAAAATTTGAATATGCGCTCTGGGATGAGCGCCACCTTTTAAATCCTGGTGTGCCTTGGTTTCTATAGAATTATATGGTGACTTTTGAATAATTTGTAGCTCGTTTATTTAATCTAGTGTTTTATATAGAACATTTGACATATATCGTAAACAGTGTTCTGGGTCCCAAACGCATTATTTTCACAAAATTGTTCTTGATCAGGTTTCTCAATCTGAGAATTATTCTTTTTAATTTCCAGAAATTTGTATTCAAATACACCCGATTCAAAGTGAATTTTTTTGTTTGGATGAAAAATCACAATTAATTATTCACTGGGTTTTAATTTTGCTATTTTCACCAACAAGTAAAATCCACTAAATAAAATGAACATGCAAAATTAACTCATTGTTTCACTGGCAAATTTATGAATCCAGTGAATATGCTGAAAATATCAAAAAAGCGAAATTAAATGTCAGTTTCACAGTACATTTTGATTAACAGTATGTTTTTATAATGACCTACATCCACTAACAACAAATTAATAACACCACTCATTCAGGGAAACACAAAGTGTTCTCAAGGCAATCACGGAATTACAGAAGATGAGAAATAACATAATTCTAAACACATTCGTAGAATTTCAGTAAAGAAGTATGAAGTATTCTAAATAGATTAAGTTGGATTTGAAGCTGAATTTTGCGTTTTACAGTATAGAAATATTTAATGCCTAACCGTCAAAATTCTTTTATCTGAATTATGAGTAATAATAATATTTGTGATTAATAATTTAGAATCCATTCAATAAATTATTGAATGTAAAATATTGAGAATTATGTGTTCTATACATGTATATGCATAGTGGTACACAACTGATTATTATACGTGCATATCCAAAACAGTGCAGATCTGTTGATGTATATTTGACAACATATTTTCCATAACTATTATAAAATGTCTAGCAACAACAAATAACTCCGATACAGGATTTTATTTTCTTGATATATGTAAATAAGTAGCAACTTGGTAAACAATTTGAGAATTAAAACGACAGTCATCAAATCACATTATGAATAAAACATTGAATTCATTGCATGGAATTGATATCTCGACGACAGTGATGCTTGCCTTTGTAGCAGGTGCAAACAAGATTCATACAGGTTACTTGCAACTTGCCAGGAAAAGTCCTTCTCAATATTCCAATAATCCCATCAAATTCCCAAGATAAAATGCCATGATTGGACAACAGTGGGAATATTTGTTTTGTTACTCAAAGCATAAACTAAAAAATACATGCACATTTACGGCCTATGCTCAAAGAGTAACAATTATCTCCAATTAATTTTTACTTCATGTAAAAGTAGTTAAAATGTTACAAAGTATCACTTACTTGTTCAAGGTCAACTTCCTTAAATGTAACAATCAAAGAGTTACTTGGTATTTCTTCTGAAATTTAAAAAGCAAAATAATAAAAATTAATGATCTTTTTCGAGGACACAATCTGTAAAATGGCTTTAGTGAACTATTAAGCACACTCTTAAATAACTCAGTGAAGTTCAACTCCTGTTTATTTACAGTGAGGAGAACAGAATGGAGAGTGTACTAAACTTAATTATTTAATTTGGCTACAGTTAAGTACAAATGTATCGTGCGTAACTACAAGAAATACTTAATTAATTTTTAAACACGCAAACAAAATTAAGGCCAGTGGAGCGTGAAAATAATTTTATTTCTGACAATTTTGAGTCTTCAGTTAAGGCTCGAAATTGTTAAGGAGACAGATATTTAAATGTTTAGACACGGAGCTCCATGGTTTAACAGTTGTACGATAATTTATCACCAGGAGACAAGACGTGTTACAATATTGTTTACAAAACAGGATTTAGGTTGTAAGACTATCCCTATGTAACGGAATCCAACAACGGTTTTAAAACACAAAGAATGTGTCATCAACTCAATTCAAATAATCTGATTGTTGAGCTGATGTTAAAAACTCGAATTGCGAGAGCAAAAAACGATTCATTAAAATACTCACCTTCCAGCGTCAAACATATGACACATGGCAGTACAAGAAAACTGACCAGTACGACCACCGCCGACGACGTTTTCATTTTTGTTGAAAGTGCTGGCGAAACAAGCACAGTGCAAGTAATTTTTGAAACTCTTACTCCTTTTGGATGAGCTTGAAATACTCCTTACCCGTTTAACATAAATATGCACTTTTAAAAATCACGCTGTTATGTTCAGAACTCGCCGATTCTTTGCTGTTTTTTCACTTTCTATCCGCCTTGCCAACAAACATCGGTTGCTGTTTTGGTGGGCAATGAATGTAACTATTAGCATAATAATGGTTTCACTTTATGTTAATGAAGTGGGCGTTCACCACGCGATGACCCCGGGAGAACAGGGAGTCTGTGCTTTTAGATTGATCCATTCTGTTGGTAGGTAATTCGATTTCGTAAAGCGTACAATAATTATATATAATTTGTGCGTAAAATATTAACGCCAATATAACAATAAGTTATGAAAGTTTAAAACTACTGTTTTTAATAATACAACGCATGAATCTTACTCGTTATTCATAAAAATTAATAAATTTTCACCTATCAAAAAATAGTTTCGTCTAACCCACAATTCCAAGCGGGAAACTCCAACATGGCGCTGTCAACATTAGTTCTTCGCACGTTTTGCAGGGGAATTTCCACGGTAAACTTCTTTTTATGCATATTTGAGATTCAGACCGGGTCACAAGTTTCACAAAATATTTAGTTTGCAGCAAAAGTAATATGGTATCGCAGTAAACTTCGAGCTATTTCGGCATCGTATCTAAATATATGCACGAAGCCTCGATCGGAGGAAAATATATATACATTTATACAACTGTGTACTAGTATATACATCAACTGTGTGGGTATACCCACTAGTAAAAGAAACCATATCGCTAGCTAGCCACGATATGTCTCGCTGCGTTTTTTGCATATTCCTTGTTTAGATAATTTCGTATTCTGAGTATGATAGAGGGTTTAAAAAATATTTACGAAAGACTTTAATGTTTAACTAATATAACATTGGGCCCGCCCATTTCTCAACAACAACGCAAATGATTTATACTGAAATGTCGTAATCGCATGCAATTTCACAGACGTGCATTTGCGCTCATGAAAGTAATATAATTGAAAACGCTTCAAAGCACACAAATGAAAGCAAATTTTGACTGCGGTATTGACACAGGAAGTTCCACACTACACAATACTATATGCTCACTTTCACTGCAAAAAGTATTTCATGTTTGATAAAAGAAATGAAAAAATGTCACACAAACAAAGACATCAATCCTCCATACAAAAGTTTTAAAATCACTCTCAAATCTTGATAAATTTTTTCTTTACTTTACTTTATTAGTTACCACGGAGCTAAAACCATGCCGTAACTATATGCAGAGTTAGAGTACAAGCATTCTAAGCGATGTAACTCATTCAAATCATAGATTCCTCAAATGCAGTTTTGTTCGAGTTTGGTGATTTGTAATAACTAGAAATTGCGCATGCAATTTTACAGCCATGCATTTGTGCTCATAAAAGTAAATATAATTGACAACGGGGCAAAGCACACAAATGAAAGCAAATTTTGACAGAAATATTTACACAGGAAGTTCCACACTGCACAATACTATAATATGCACACTTTCCCTGCAAAAAGTATTTCATGTTTGAAAAAAAAAAAAAAGGAAAAATGTCACACAAAAAAAGACAGACACCAATCCTACATACAAAAGTTTTATAATCACTCTCAAAATCTTGATAAGCTTTTTTCTTTACTTTACTTTATTAGTTACCATGGAGCTAAATCTATTTTCCATGCCGTACCTAAATAGTCATACATGCAGAGTAAAAGCATTGACAGCATTTTAAGCGACGTAACTCATGCAAATCACGGCAGATTCCTGAATTGCATTTTGTTGGAGTTTGGTGATTTGTAATAACAGGTTTGACATGTGGTCACAATTTGTAAAAGTACACTAAGTATTCCTCATCAGCCAATTTAGTGTGATGATTAGTATCAGTCTATTATCTTCGGTTTTGCCAAAGGTCAATCTCCTGTCCTTTGAAGTAACAGGGGGAATATAATGTGCAACTTGAGCATTTCTATGCTGTGTAACCCTCATTTATGGGAACCAGAACTAGAAATTGGTGGAGTTAACGGAAGTAGACATGGATTATTTAATATCTATTGATGGTTTTTAAAGAAAGATTTCAAAACTAAACAGCGCCACCAGTGGCTGTTTCTGACTATATGCGTCAAGCAGGTGTTTATTGGCTGGTGAGGAAGTGTGTCATTTATGTAACTTTCAGGATTCACCAAGTACTTTAGTTTGCCACTAATTACTTATTGGTGAAAATACACCAAAACATGCACAGGTCTATTTAAATTCCTCTAGAGTTTTGATCAGAAGAATACTTCTTAATGTGTAATCATGATTTTCTGTTGCAAGAATAATGGGTTTTCAGTCATCAGTTTCTCAAATTTGTTTTTTTTGCTGATTCAAAATTCAAACAAATATGTCAGATGTGAATGAATTTTCTCAACAGTCATAAATACGTATCTCTGGTTTTACAGAATATCCAAGAATTCATCCCAGTTTCTAGTTACTATGGAAAACACATTAGGCTGTATTCCGATGCTGCCACAAAGCAACGTGATGAGCCGTATACAATTAGAACACAAAAAGACGGAATAAGAACAATTTTTCTCAATGACATCAAAAAAAGGCAAGTGTTTTCATACCGTATTTACTCCATTAGGAGCAAATCTCTATTAGAAGTATACATAAACCAATTTACTAGATGCTGGATCATTAAAACATGAGATATTTTAACCACAGACACACCTCTGTCATTTACGTAAACGCATACATGTACCTTACTAATAGAACAAATACAATACTGTTACTTGTTTAACAATATTCCAGCTAAAACAAAGTATTTTACAGTACCAGTTACACATTATTGAACTAATGCATTATGGGATACCACGGCCTGAAAAATGTTTTTAAAAGCGCACTGGTTCTGGAACTCATATAATTCATAATATGAGTGGGAATGTTTCTCGAAAAAATCTACTATTCAATTTTCTTTTTTACTGAAAGTTTAGTTTCGGAGAGATCTATGAGAGCCTCTGAATCTTGTGTTTAAACAAATTTACTTTCTGTATTTCTTACATTTTGCATGATATATGTTAATTTAAAACTGACCTCTTGAAATTTGATGTGGTGGCTATCTCTGATCAACATTGAACTGACCTGAAACTGATGTTTATGAGCTCAAATCGAAGAATTAATCCAGCGGATTAATATTTTGAGTTTACTCAGCAGTGAAATCCTAGCATTGTATAATAACGCAGATGATTCTTAACAATGTTTTTAAAAAAATAGATATGTCTTTAGTCTGAGACCTGGAATCACAGTTATCGACAATGGTACTTAAATTTGCTTCTAAAATAAGATGTAAATTTTTAAACCATTGATCTTAATTAAATTGGAAGAAAGATCTATCGATCATACTCTGGTCACAAGTTGAACTGAAGTCTATGCAATATGGAACTTCTTTCATTCAGTCGTTTTCTTTTTGTATTTCCTTTTAGTAGTATGCGAGTGAATTTCTATTACCTCTCTAAAACTTGCTTTTGATTGTATTATGTCATATTTGGTTTCAGACATCAAAACAAAGTTATTGTCAGCTATTAAGTTACTGACTTGTTTGCTATGCAGGTTAAGAACTGATTAGAACTTATTAGATCAAACAATTTTGTTTTAGATGGTACGTCATCATAAAACACACACATTATAGTTATACAACCAGGCTTGGCTTCAAATGTATAAATTTCAGGAAAAGGGAATTGCATCTGCTACTGATATTCAAAGTGTTCCTCATTATTTAACTCCTGTTGTTGTTGCTTTGATCTAACCTATTCCCACACATAACAATATTATGACTTGCACAGCAAACCAGTCAGCAACTTAGCCAGCTATCAATGTTGCTGTTTTGGTGACAATTTTTTTTTTTTTTTTCTCCGTAGAAATGCTTTGTCACTTGCAATGTTAGAATCATTGAAGTCTGACTTACTCCATGAAATAGAAAGCGATGACTTGAGAGTTATTATTATCTCATCGTCAGGACCAGCTTTTAGTTCTGGACACGATTTAAAGGAGTTGGTATGTGATTTAATTTTATTTTCAACTTTGATATAAGGGATCGGTGTAACCTGGTAGTTGTACCTCATAGCGTCATGGGCTATTGTAATCGGCTTTAAATAGTTGCCTGTTGGTGAAAATCATGAAATATTGTCATCACTATTGCCATAAAATCAGGAGTTCTTAGCAGTGAAAATTAAGCAGTTTACAGAATCTTATCTTCACACCTTTGATTTGTTAGTCTCTATTTGGACACATTTCTGCCATTCTGGGAGTGGATATTGGTCATACACAGACAGATTTCTTTTAAACCTGGTACACCTTGATGCAGGTCATTTTGTTTTTCAGATCTTATTCAGAATGGCAGACTGGCAGTCATTTTGTTTTTAATGAATACTGTACTGTTATGTCTTATGTAATTTTTGATAACTCACATGGACTATGTCATACAATTACCCCGGTAATTGTTATAATGTGTACTTTAATAGAATACAATACAATCACTATTACCGGTACTAGTATTATCCATCTTCAAACTCAGTCAAAAGAAAATGTTTCACCCATTTTGCCCCTGTCATTGTTTCCGGCACACATTAATATAGGTCTCACATAGACAATCATTGCCTGAAAATTGTCAAATATGACCTTCATATTTTCAATATGTTCAAGTACATTGACCTTGAAATGATCTATTATTGTGGACCTTATTTTGTTAGCTCCACTGTCGACTTTGTGTCAAGTGATTGTCTGTCTTTTTACTTTTCCGACTTCTTCTTGAAAACTACAAGCCTGATTGCTTTGATATTATACATATAGCTACTACAGGTAGACCTCTCTCAGATTTGTTCATTTTGTGATGATATCTTCAATTCTCTAATTTTGATGAATATTTTTCTCAGTTTTTGTAAAAAGTGATACTTTCGACTTCTCGTTGAAAACCGCAAGTCCTATTGCTTTGATATTACATATATAGGTACTACAGGTGGACCACTCTCAGATTTGTTTATTTTCTAATAATATCTTTAATTGAAATGTTCACTACTAACAGCAGAGCTATCTTAGCCGAGATGCTTTTAGAAATGTAACATTCCTACATTTTTTCAGACGATGAGAGAAGGTAGAGACTACCACACAAAAGTTTTCAATACATGTTCTGACACAATGAAGATGATAAAAGAACTACCAGTACCAGTCATTGCACAAGTTCAAGGTAGGAAATTACTGTATTTACAATGCATGTACAGTAATAATCAAATTCTGTATATGCACCAATCAATCGCATTCCGAACCTGTGACATCACAGAACACAGTGGAAGCTTGGAAATGTGTGATTGTGTGAACCAATTATCTTACTTATAGCTCAATATCGAAATGCTGATTTTTCAGAGAGAAATAATTTGTTGAATTACTCATCAACTTAAAGGGCTGTGGTCGTCATGCTGCGCTTGTGCGACATTTGATTTGATAAACATTGATTTTCCCACAAATCAAGTACGCTCTTCTAATGAAAATCACGAGTACGAGTTTTGATCTGCGTGCGACATGCAGTAATTACCATTGATGACTACTTCAATGCCTTCCAATCACCAAAGAAATTACGTAGTTAAAGCTTGGTAATGTCTAAGTCTGTATTCGTTGGTCTGCGCAACAGTCAAATTCGCCATGCGGGGGGACGACCATAGCCCTTTAACTTCATCAAATATAATACTACTGGGGTAGTACAATGTAAAGGGTGGAAATACCCTCAAATTACTTACACATCTGTTGAATCCCACAAGATGTTTTGACATCATAACATTTTATGACCTTTAATTTTCCCGTTTTTAGAGGGTACATTCAATTTTACACATAACACAGGAGCAGAAAATAATCTATTTGTTTGATCCTACTTCAATTCATGTGAGATCTTTATCACATATTGCATATGCTCAAATTATAAATCTCTGTTAGTAATAATTCATAATAGCATCTTGATAACTGCATATTCTATCTTCACAAATACCGGATATTGAATCATGCTAAGGAAATAAAAATGCAAGACAAAACAGAAATCATAGATTGGCTCAGCCGTGGCAATTTTATTTTACCTTTCTTAAAGCGGGGGAGTCGTCACCTGCGCATGCGTCAGATAGTCATAGGGTGTTATTGTTTACAAACAAGCGTCTACCCATGAGCCTTTGCATTTTTAGTGTGTGTTGTTATCGTCACTTGAAACTTAATTCCCATGCGTACGCAGGTGACGTCCCTCTCGCTTTAAAACGTGGTCCAACGCGAAATTATTACAACTGGTCTTTTCTAAAGAGTATTTATTACTATTAATTATTCATTCTATGCAGTGACATTTTGGAACACTTCCAAAGTAGGCAAGTAAACATGCGCAAAGGATGCGCCAGTCAGATGTGCATTATAGTTGCGTAGCATTGCATCAGATCACAAATTTCTTATTGGTTGGCAGCTTCCAAGTAATGCTACTCATTAGAATAATTATCACCTCAAAAATGTGGTGACAACTATAGAGGGCGCGGTAGAACAGACCAGTCGTGGAAATTTCACATCAACACGAGAGATTCTACAAACTCTTTCTGTTAAGGCATATCATATTCAAACAATAAAATTTCCACAAATGTGCTAGTCTACAGAAATCAGTAAAAAACAATTTATGATAAACCCTTGGATTTTGGATGGTGGTGACCCTTCTGATTGCTGACCTTTGTCCCACTAATATTTTTGTGCAACATTTTGCCCATTTTAGGTATTTTTCTATAACTGTTTTGATAATTTTGGACCAAAATGATCAAAATTTCAGAAAAATATGAAAAAAATGATGCAAGTTTTATTTTGTGAATGTTTTTTTTTTCAAATGTTTTTTGTGCCAGGCGACAGTTCCTGATTTGTAATAGTACTAAAATTTCCATCCCCAAGTAGTAATTGATGTTTATCTGGAAGACTGTCTAGATTTAAAAATTTGCCCCAGTTATGAAATACTTTACCCCAAACACTGGGCAAAATCGTTGGTATACGGCGGGTACATTAGCGTATTCGCACGCGTATATTCCCGATATTCGAAGATATACGTTGGTCGGCGCACACGTACATTCAACGTATGTACGGGGAATACGCAACGTATATTCACACATTCGGAACATACTGATACGTAAATATACACAGCAGTATATTTACGCAGACCGG